CCAAATATTTATAGTTTGCTGGAGAGGTTTTACTATCAATTTCAGTAAAAGAGTTTGCTCTTTTGTAGCTCGCAGGGGAGCTGTTCGCTTACATTTAAATGTCAACCTTTCTTTGATGTTTCTCCTACATTTCCTTAGGAAAAAATAATTATAGATACAAATGAGTTAATTGTGGACAAAATAGAGGTATTAGTGAATGGATAGCAGATCAGGGGCGCATTTCCCAAAAGCATTGTTAGCTAACTATGGTCGAAAGTTCCATCATTGCCAAGATAGTTCAACGATTTGGTGTTTCCCGAAACCATAATAGAATATTATTTAACATGATTTTTTTGTTAAATAGTTTATTATTGTACTTTTTTATAGGATTTTTTTCTGTATATAATATGAACAGAATAGCACAATAATAAATTGAGTCAATAAACTGTAATAAATCTGTAAATGATTTGTATAGGTTATATATGTGTGTGTGTGTGTGTGTGTGTATAATATATATATATATATATATACATACATACATACATACATACATATATAGATTATTGGCAATGGTTCTACGATCTACCTAGGTTTACAATGCTTTTGGTAAATGCAGCTCAGGGTAATTATAGTTAATAACTAAAACTAAAAACATAAAAAAGTTATTTGAAATAAATGTTAACTGAAATAAAATATATACTGTAGACATTTAAACAATTTAAATTAAATAACAATAAAAAGAGATAAAAATGTAAAAATCTAAAATTGACATGAAAATATAAATAAAATCAAATTCAAAATATTAACAAAAACTATAAAAGTACCTTAATGATACTAAAATAAACACAGTTACATGCAACTGTGCGCGTATATAATTAATACCATGGTCTGACTGAATACGCTGTTCTGATTGGCTGGCAAGTATGCATTAAATAAGGGATAATCAACAGCTAGCCGTGCATTAAATAATTTTAATGCACGACGTGGAGGCAAAGAACCACCCGATGCAGGTGGTTGCCTCCGCGAAGTGCATTAAAATCCTTTAATTCCCGGCTAGGCGTTGATTATCCCGCTTATTCCATGGTCATTTGCCAAGCTATAGACAAGTTAAAAATTGTATTGCTCTTTGCAGCGCAATATTTGACCGAATGGGTTATTTTCGTCAGTTACGGCTCGTTAGCGCTAGCATTCTGCCAGCTTCAAATCAGACAGAGAGATGAAATTAATTATCGATCGATCGAGAGAGAGAGATAGAGAGAGAGACAGCAGTTGTGTGTCAGTTACCTGCTTGCTGCGTCGTTGCTGGGGAATATAATGTAGAGATCCAATATTTTAGTAATAAAAATCACGGGGAAGCTTTGACAACACGTTTATGTGTGTGTGCACTGTGCAGCACAGTCTGCGATCTCCGACCTATCTCTCTCTCTCTCTCTCTCTCTCTCTCCGTGTGTGTGTGTGCGAGCGAGTGATGCATGTTGGTTAGTGTGCATCAATTAAAGCAGCACATTAATATAGAATGTGGATTAAACTGACTTGGAGCTACCTAGCATTAAACGGTTTTACTGCATACATGCCAGCCAATCAGAATTCAGAATTCAGACAGACCATGGAATAAAACCGTTTAATGCACAGGGAGTTCCAAGTCAGTTTAATCCACATTCTATATTAATGTGCTGCTTTCATTGACTCACATACACACAGAGAGATCGCAGATTGCGCTGTGCACATACAGAAACATTCAAGAGGACATAGACTTGTCATCATTGTTTTTGAAGTAACTAAACTCACAGCTTTATTGTTTGTAGAGAGAGACCCACACACAGGTAATTTACACACGCAACTTTCATCTCTCTCTCTCTCTAGTTAATCAAAATAAATGGTGTAATTCATTCAAATAAATGTAGTCTTACCACACTACTTCATCTCTGTGTCTGATTTAAAGTTGGCAGAATGCTAGATCTAACGAGCCGTAACTGACGAGTTTCGGGTGGTTTTTGCCTCCACGTTGTGCATTAAAATCATTATCCCTTACATATATTTCACATTATATTCATCAATGTTTTTGAAAAAGGAACGTAATTGTTTGAAATAATCAAATGGGTACACAAAATAATAGTTGTGTACCCATTCCTAAATGCAATTATTTGACCACACAAAAGTATTATTGCTCATTTACAGCATTTAGGTTTGTGATGCATTACATTGGACAGCCTATGTGTGATCCTTTGAATATTAGTATTAATCTGTTCATTGTGTGTGTGTGTGTGTGTTTGTGTGATCTTTACAGATCACTGCATTAACATTTACTGCATTAACGGGCTTTACATGCACTCCATTGACTTTTCTCCTAGGAAGTGCATAGACAGAATAAAGTCATTTTAGCATGTGAAGGGAACAGTTAGAATAGCAAAAACTTTCCCTGATTTCAGAGCCTGTCCAGATCTATTAAACATACAGCTGAAACATTTATGATGACAGCTTGCTGTGTTACCCTTAATGCACGACCCTTAATGCAGGCAGAACATGTATGTCATACAGTATATTTTTATTGAAAAGTAACACCAAAATATCATACATCTATATTTTTTTCTGTTATTTCTTTTGAATTGTGGGGTTTTGTGATTTTTTTTCACCCACTTACAGTAACTTTTTTTTGCCTCTATTGTGCTTCCTTAACAACAATTTACCACAGTTCATATTGCAAAATGTGGTACGTGCAAATTTTCATTTTTCATTTTGTTGTTATCTTTGAAAACAAGACTGTGTGTTTAGTGAGTGCCTGAAACTCTCTGTCCTTAACTAAAAGATCTGCAATGTAAACCTGCCAAAATTGTTTTTCTGTATTAAAAATACTCACAGCTACTGTGTTTATGCATACCATTTAGCTAAAGAGGTTTGTTAACATGCGGCTCACTGTGATCTGACATTATTCAAAGTTACGCCAAGATCCTGTTTAAAAGAGCAAAACCTTCACAGGCATATTAAGCAGTTAAACCTCATTTAGCAATACATTGTTTATTGTTTACTGCTTGCTAAATTGGCTTGAATCAATTATGATTTGTGGTGCAGAACTGTAATTGCAATTGAATTAGCCTGTGTTTTTAGGAAAGTCTAATGAAAAAAAATCAAAAGCAAGATTTTCTTTTTCTTTTTATTATTTCTTGGCAGCTAAAGCACTGGTCCAGTGATTGTTTTAATACCCAAAGGGTAAGAAAACAAATTAGTTTCAAAGTACGGTTATTTGAGAAGGTTGTGAAAAGCAAAGTAATCCTTTAATTAAATAAGGTAAATTAGAACCAAATTCGAAATTATCCCCATGTCCTGGAGGCCTGTGTAAGGTTTTAGAGGATTGTTGTTTGTTGCTAGGTAACATAAGCTGCTGATGACAATAACAAACGTTGCAGATTTAGTAGTGATATTTGCTAATGCCAGAGTCACTATTAATACTGCTCATACCTGTAGGGTTTTTAATTCGGACAAACCATTAATGCTAAATGTATGAAAGCTTTTCACATCATGGTGTGACATTATACCCCACAATATAAATATAAAAATCGATTTTATAAAGGATTGTTTTCAGTGTGAAGTCCTGTCATTCAATCTAATATCATGTGCTGGAAATCCTTTACTTACATTTACTTATTTAAAATGTACTTACCGTCAGACCATCCAAGATGAAGATGAGTTTGACATTTGGATAATTATCATTGCATCACTCACCAATGTATCCTCTGCAGTGAATGGGTGCCGTCAGAATGAGAGTCCAAACAGCTGATAAAAACATCACAATAATCCACAAGTAGGCTAATCCACATGATTTAAATCCATCAATTACCATCTTTTAAAGATAAAAGCTGCAATAAATCCATCATTATGGTGTTTTTAAATTAGTAGTTTGGCTAAAATATGAGTCTTCTATCCATTATATTGCTTTCTTCAGTAAAAAAGTTATCTCGTCTGAATGAGGAGAGAAATATGCACAGATCATGCACTGTTTACAAGTGAAAACCGTTCTAAACAAATCTGTTTGGTGGATTTTGATGTGAGAAGGCAACAGGGGATGGACTTTTTCAATGGAGGAAGCATTATTATGGATTGTGGACTGGTATTTTGGCCAGAAGCTGCACTTTAAATTTAAAATGCCTTAATGATGGATTTGTCTACTACAAACACACACCTTTTTGCTTCATAAGATGTTAATTGTTGGACTAGAATCATTTAGACTATTGTGACGTGTTTATTAGCTGTTTGAACTCTTATTCTAATGGCACCCGTTCACTGCAGAGGATCCATTGGTGAGCAAGTTATGCAATGATACATTTCTCAAAATCTGTTCTGATTAAGAAACTGATCTTCATATTGGATGACCTGAGGGAAAGTAAAAAGCAAATTTTAATTTTGGGTGAATTATATATTAGTGTGTTAAATCCTCAGTAGAATCTCAATCTCTCTCTTTCTCTCTCTATGTATGTATATTCAAAACATAATAAAAAAATCATATCACAATTATTTTCACCTGTTGTGGCCCTTGAAGTCCTGTCTGAAATTTGATTTAATAATGATCTCTAGCACTTGCAGTGGTCCTGACGGGTATGTGACAGCTGTCAGTGTGTGCTTGGTCAGCTATTCAGATGGATTTCTGTGACTATAGTTCCAGTATGTGTGTCCCATCACTACAGCTATATCACATTCACTTCTTCTGCATGAAATAGACCTGTCCTCTGTGCCTGCTAATGATACGCAGTATGAAATAATGATTGGATGTCAACATGATTGATGTGGGTGTGGAGAGGGAGGGTCCATTGCTCTCTTGGGCCATTATCTCTTCAAATTATATCAAGGATGTCTGATGAATCGACTAATAGACTTGATGATGAAGTTTTGGTAAAGCCTTGACTAAAGTCCAAACTGCATAATTGAACCGCCTAAAGAAAATCACTAATGGGATTCACCTGAGAAATGTAACTGTAAAATGCAATTGTTTAGTTTAAAATTTCTTAATTTCTTTGTATCTCTGGCAGTCCATCCGTGAGGTGACGGGTTACGTGTTGGTGGCTCTGAATCAGTTTGACTATCTTCCTCTGGAGAACCTGCGGATCATCCGTGGCACTAAACTGTACGAAGGACGCTACGCTCTGGCCATCTTTCTCAACTACAGACGAGATGGCTACTTTGGCCTTAGACAACTCGGCCTCAAGAACCTGACAGGTATATTCTGCTAAATTTGACTCATTCTGATATTGTAACTGCAGTTTCTGTTTTTGCTGTTTGTATTTGTCAAAATCTGTCAGAGAAGGTACATCTATTTCTTCAAAAGTTCTGTAAGATTCTACCCTGACAGCATTTGCCCAAAACAACGGTTTGAAATGTGCATTTAAGATGGTTTAGCAGTTAAAAAAAGTGGTGTTTCTTTTTTCCCCTTTGTTCAAATAAAGCAAGAGTGCTGCAGAATGGAAAAAGAAAGCAGGGGTTTTTAAAAGTTGAACTTATTTTCACTTAAAGTTCCATCTTAAAATGCTTTATAGATAGATGCTTTTTAGATCATATGCTTTTTATTTAACAGTCAACATAAACTACCATATAAAAGCCTGAGATCAGTAAGATTTTTTTTTTCTGAAAAATTAATACATTTAGTCAGCAAGGATGCATTAAATCCAAATGAAGTATTGAAATACATTTTAAAATATATTAAAATAGAAAATATTATTTTAAATATTAGTAATATTTCTGTTAATACTACTGTTTTTTCTGTATTTTTGATCAAGTAAATGCAGCCTTGGTGAGCATAAAAGACTTCTTTCACCAAAAAAAAATTAAATCTCACTGACCCAAACTTTTAAACAGTAGTGCATATGCAATTAGTGGATAGAAGATAATGAAGAGATGTTGTTAATTAATTTTCCATATTGTAGTTTGGCTAGTGTTAGTGCAGCAAGTTTATCTAAATACCTAAGTAGTATACTTAAGTCTATGTTTGTAATGTTTAAATGTCTGACTGATGTCTGTGTAAGTTGTGGTCTTAGACTAAATTAGCATAGCAGGCACTGGTGTATTTGAACACATGTCTGATAAGATTGCCGTTAATTATGTCTTTCATGCTGTGCAGTGTGGCAGCTATGGTAATCATGTACATCAGAAGACGTATCTCATATTAATGATCCACTCTTCATTATATGACTGCGGTTTATCTTATCAGCATATTGTGTTTCACTTGAGCATGTTTTACAGATGACATCAAGGTTTTTTTTTCTTTTTCTTTTCTTCTTCAGCCTTGCTTGGTTGCCTCATAGGGAGACTTTCGTTTACATCTTATACCATGCAATATAGAAACTCATCTTAGAACAATATTTCCAGATCCCTGTTGGGATGTATAAAGAGATAGAGAGAATAAGAAACAGAACAAGGAGTCAAACAACCAACAGACAAATAAAAGAAGTTGGTGGCACCTCAGAGCAAAACAGCCAGAGGCGTGATAATGGTTGTCTGAATTCTGATGACTCCTGGACGACCAATGGAAGTCCAGAGGAGTCCAGCAGGTGGTACGGGGTCACAGTAGGTGATGGAAAGAAAGTTAAGAAAACCACTGGCATGTGGCCCAGTAGGCATATTGCATGATCATGTAGTATTAATCCCAAATACGGCTTTAGCACTTTAATGGCTGATTAAACAATTTCTTGGTATATAAATAAATAGAGCACTGATAGTCTGGGTATACCGCTGCCTTCTTGTCTTCTTTTCTTAGTGTCCTCAAAGATATTTGCATCCTTTTATTGTTTCTCTCATCATTGTGATGAGGTGGCATCTTTGAATGAATGGGGTGTGATGTTACAGGGCATGTACTTCAGGATTCAAGAATTGTGAAGTACATCCTATACATTTGTTTTGATAGAGGGAAACAAGATGCATTTCTAGTTTCAACATTTCTTATTCTTCAGACATTCTGCTTTAAATACAATAAGTATTGGCTGTAAACAATGTGACCAACTTCTGACCACTGGAAATGCATTTTCAACATTCAACAATATTCAGTAATATTCAACAATCTGGACATGAAACCTAACTGAGATCCCCATGTCTCTGGGACTGAATGATAAAGGGCTTTGAAAATGAAGATTCCAAAAGAAGAGTTTATCAAGAACTAGAATCTAAAATCATATTGCGATATCTTTGATACTTCTTGAGTTATAGGTACGCAAACTTTGGAAAAAAATAAAATTTATGACACTCAGACAGGTCTGTTCAATGCAGTTGTTTTGACAGAAGGAAATTAAGTACATCTCTAGTTTCAACATTATTTGCTCTTCAGACATTCATTTTTAAAAGAAAAGAAGTATCATATTTATGCAAAGTGATCCATATTTGTTTTTTGACCACTGAAAATTTACAATTTAGCGATTTACTCCAGGAGCCATGTTGAAATTCAAATATCTCAAGAACCGAATCATATAGGACCTAAAAAATGAGGATGCCAGAATGAATGTTTTTTAAGACCCAGAATTTATAAGGGTATTAAAATATCTTTAAAGGGGTCATGAACTGGCTTTTTAAAAATTATTTTATACATACATTCCACTTATGACGTTAGCGTGGTTTTTACATTCAAAAACATCAAAATCAGTAAGTTATAGGCTATTTTCTACCCTGGTTTTGAGGCTGGCTCAAAAAACGTTCAGTTATTATGGGTGTGCCGCATTGAAAACAATTGGAAGTAAACGCCCACTGCTATGATTGGATAACAGTTTTGCATAGTAAACTAATTACAAACTAACTTCATAGTTGGAGCCTTCTGTGACTTTGGTTAGACACGTAATCAGGACATATCAAGCGATCTCTAACAAAGCAATAGTGATACATAGTACAAATATTTTTACTCACATAAGTGTGCTGCGCCATTCCTGTCGGAACCAATATAGACGGCACAGCATTGCTTTTTAAAGCTGCAGTCCATAACTTTTTTGTTTAAAAATTATCCAAAATCTAAAAATCCTAAATTTAACGTCTGTAAACATAAAGAAGTTGTCCCAACTAGAATGCTATACCGCACCGGAGGATGCTGCAGGTGACGGATTGTTTATAGCCTTTTCTCACAGCAGCTGGAATAAATGATGGATTGAATTTGAAAACACTGTATGACAATAAGAATAATTGGCACGGTTTTATGTGATATGAGCTAACCAATCTTTAGATTTAATCACCATTCATAGCGCAATTTATTGTAATGCTTTTTTCCTCAGTTGATCAGAACAAAAGTGGCAGTTGTTACTTGTTCAGATGACATTCTCCAGTGAAAAATCTTATTTGGGTCATATTTGGGTCGATGTAGAATCTGTGAATACAAAGTGCAGTATATCCACATCGGTGCGGTGACTGACAGCCACACATTAGATCCATCTGGAATCAACCTTTTCAGAATAACACTTTTAAAATTTTTTACAGAATAATTAATACAAGCGTTTTTATATACAAGCCATACATTTCTGCTTTAAAACCTCCCAGGATGTCTTGCTGCGGACTTAAAGTGCATTATTGGAAACACTATTTTATTTTTACAATCTGAAGTACAAGTCATTATTTTTTTATTTGACAATGATGCTGTCGATAGATCCTAATGCATTTTTAAACTGGAGCATTCCTTTAAATGAGTTAGTGACTGTTTACAACCACAGTAAATCAGTAAGAAATGTGCACTAGAATAAGCTTTGTTCTTCACCCAAAAGCTTGCAAACAGAATGTTCCAGCCCAGTGTTGCAGTGTTACAATGCTGTATATAGTAAACCCTATAGTAAGCAAGAAAATGCAGCAAAAGTTGGCTGTATTCAATGATGGGAAGAGCTGCACATTTGAGGTAACGGTTGTTGCTTGAATTCCTCGCTAAATTCTTTGAATCATATTTTTTAGCTTTGAATTTCCTATTCCTCCAGTGTTGCTGGTAAAGTCTGATTCTCGTGGCAACGGTAGCCATGTTTCTGCAATTTTCAAAATTAGTTTTAAGAGATGAAAGTTGTTCTTCAGCCCCTTGAGATATTCAGCACATTGATGATGAATGACTCCTTTTATTACAGCCATGTGCTCCCCTCTCATGGTTCCTCTACACGGCTCTGCCGCATGATCAATAGCTTTCATAAGCAACTTATGATACAATAATGGCTGTAACCTTATTTTCTGTGGTCCTTCAATCAAATGTTGTTCTTTTTTGACTATGCACTCTTAGATGACCTCTATAACCAGCAGCTGAATAAAGGGCAGTTTCATTAACTTTTTAGAATCTCAGAAGATAGAATTTTTAATGCCACGTGTTTTCGGAAAAGAGTTCAATATTTGAGTGGGCAGATCCCTGTATGTAAATATTTCTTCATCTTCCACCACATGTGGCCAAAGGTTATTGAATAAGAACAAATCAAAGATCATGTGCAATACTTATCAGATCAATGATATATTGCATCCAAGCACTTGTTCAGTTGCTTGAAAATCAAGGCTTACATTACACAGTCATGAAAGAAGTCTGTTGTTCATAGACTGTGGATTCTCTAATGAATCCGTTGTTGAATCACACTCCACTAACATGCCAAGAAGTCTCAGTGTGCACTGTGCAAAGCAATTAGACCATTATGCAGAATAGACATGTGCCGGTATTCAGTAATAGGATATATCACGATAATGAACATGCATGATATCGTTATCGTGGGCACTTCAAAATACAGTGAATAATTATTTATTACAAATTATTCAGGTTATTTGAAAGCATTTTAAGAATACTTCTCCCATCAACTGGGTACAATGCACAACACCACTGTATGCTGTGTCAAAGACACATGTGCACCCTGATGTAAACAAGTCCAACACGGATGAGAAGAACATGGCAGAACGAGTGAAGTAGTGAATGCACATTCACTCTCTGACAGCTGATGGAACAGCAGAAATGCAGCTGTTACCCTGATAACCCCGAAACCAAAGCAGCTGTGCTACTTTCTGTTTCTGAACAGGATTTAAATGTTTTAAACAGCCATTCAGATTTTTGTATTTGCAGTGGTGTGCATAGCACCACTGCGAATACAAAATACTTTAAGACTTAGACTTAATAGGCTTTTTATTTTCTAATTATTTATACATTTTAATATGGACTACGACATGCCCTTGCTATTGTTTGAAAAAGTTTTGATTATTTATTGTTCAGTCACACTTTACATTAAGACTCCATTATTTTAACA